CTTTGATCGCTCAGTTCTCACCCTTAGAGGTGGTAGCATCAACTGCAGCATCAGACTGATGCTGCATCCACCTGGGTGAGTACGATTGTTTTTTTTTATTTTTTTAATACCACACTTCTCTTTTTAATGGTGTAGATAATACTGGTGTGTAGAACTTTACTGCTAATTACAGAGTAAAAATGATCCATTGCAGCTGGGCTGTGCCCCCACTGCAAGGGTAATAACTTGTTTTGTTTAGGGGAGAAAAGCTATTTTACTTACCTGATCCTCCGCTACTTAGCAGGTGATCAACTGTCCCTGAACATCCCCATGATCAAGTAGTTGACTGTCCCTTGCAGGGGCAGACTGACCATTCGAGCACACGGGCACTGCCCCAGGGCCGGGGTCAGTAGGGGGCCCCATGAGATGCCTCTGGTACCTTTCATTGGCTTTTTCATAGGCTTTTTTGGGTGTGGGTGAGGACACGGGGGCCCCATGATCCCCTATTGCCTGAGGGCCCCATGAGTTGTCAGTGAGCTCCTGGTCCCTTGGCATCCTCACACCCAGGGCAGGTTTATGGACTCTGCTCAGGTCTTGATGATGCCAGGACCATAGACTGCTAGAGCCCGGGAGTGCAGAAGCTGTGGGCAAGAACAGATGATTGGGTAAGTATATCTCCTTTTAATGTTTCCCTAGACAAAAAATTATCAATTAACCCTTGTAATGCAGGCACAGCCCCTCTGCAAGGGATAACTTTTTATTTGGCCAAAGTTGGGCTTTAAACAACTGACCGCTACAGTGAGAAACAGTGGGTGAGCGAAAATATAAATATTGTGGAAATATTCTAAATGATCACATAACTATCAGTACACAAGACAGATTGATGTAAGTTGCATTGGAATTGCTTAGATAGTATGACAGCTTGTACCTTTATATGGATACTTTTGCAAAGTTAAAAATAAAAACACTTTGGCTGTGTCTCCCAGTGAGTATGCATACAAAGGCTAGGAAATGTAATGACAACATTTTCTACTCTGCTCACACTTTATGCAAATGCTAGAGGTAGAGAGTGAAAGCCATTGATGGCAGATAAGAGGATCTAACACATTTTTATGTGAATACTACAAAGGTGCTCTTCTCTAGTGATGATGAGATCAAAGGTAAGGAGTTTCATTCAAACAATGGCGATTGTAGGCAACAGAGATGACAAGTATGTGTGACAATTATTAACACCTACACTATCATCGCCTTCCAGAGTATTGTTTCATTACTAAAGAGCCAAGATAGATGAATAGCTGAAATATTTCACACCATCCATGCTTATGGAAGTCAATTATGTAAGAAAGCAAAAAAAAAAAAAATCAGATTGGAAATGCTCACTAAATATTTCTGCAGGCAGTTTAAAACAAAAAAGAAAAAATTGTACTTTAAAATGGTTGAAAACTCATTCAAAAGATAACATAGCATTGGATGGGCTAGCTTGTTTTGAGTTCTTCTGAAACACCCCTAATTTGCTATAAATGGGATAATATTATGGTCATTCTTTATTCCTTTTCCTGGTCTATATAATCAAATATTTTTCCTTTTGTTTATGAAGCTTTATTCATAGGACTTTGATATATGTTTTTCGAGAATAAAATGTGATTGAAGGTGCATTCAAGCAGGGATTAGTTCTAGGTTTATGATTATATATACCTGGATCACCTATGTTTGACAGTAGTTCTAGCTTGATTTAGAATGTACCAGGAAGACATCCTCATTGTAAAAGGATAAGTTCACCTTGGGGAACATGTTAAATGTTCCATCTGCTTTTAGGGTGGAACATGTAACGTGTTCCCACAGCCGCAGCCACAGCCTGGCACCCCCTCCCTCTGACATATAGTACAGGGAGAAGTCTCCCTGTACTATCTGTCTAATTTGAAAACAGTGCGGCCGTATGGGGCTCCACTCACACGGCCGCATCATTGATTCATGGATTTCCGTGAATGAATGAACTGTAAGTCCTGACAGCCTAAGCAGCTGTAGGCTTGTAGTTTTCAACAAACTATGACGGCGGTGTGGAGCACCATGGTAGTTCATTCATTGAAGCTTTCTATCAGTATATCTGCTTGCTTATACATCCCGTACGGCAAGCAGATATTTTTTGCATTTACCTGCAAAAAATGTGCATTTATTATTTTTGTCTAAAAGGTGAACTTATCCTTTAAGGCATCACAGTGGCTCAATGGTTAGCACTTCCTCCTTGCAGTAATAGGGTTGTTGGTTCGCATCCCAGCCAGTTTCTCCTCCGGTTTTCCTCCCAGGGTACTCCGGTTTCCTCCCACACTCCAAAGACATGCTGGTAGTTAATTGGCCCCTGTCTAAATTGTCCCTAGTATGTGTATGTATGAATGTGAGTTAGAGACCTTAGATTGTACTCCCCTTGAGGGTTAGGGAATGATGTGAATGTACAATATATATATGTAAAGTGCTGTGGAAATTGATGGCGCTATATAAGTACCTGCAATAAATAAATAAATAAAGGCATATTGCATTATATTGCTCCTGATAGATATGCTATGTGACAACACATGGAATGTTGAAATTCTTTTATTTTCGAAGTACAAGTTTCTCTATTGCTTACTTTCAATAAAAATGTTATTGTAAAAAAAAAAGATAACATAGCTTTTCAAGTATGGATCATATGTGCACAAATATTTACGAAAATAGCAGATACACCTGGCCACTGTTATCTTGGGATTATATTAGCTATCAGCAAGATAAGCCATTCTGAGTGACCCCGACACTTTAGATCTACCCTAGGAAAGGGCCCAAGTTGGAAATTGCGTATAGACTCCACAATGCAGCAAAGCTGGCTACAACAACCAAATATCATGGTGTTCTTGTACACGTCTAACATAAACTGTACAAAGATATTAGAGTTTTAGGGCATGCTAAAGTCAAGTGCTCTTTTTACTCTTTCCTATTTTTGGTGTAGTATCAGCATATAAAATATCTCTTTATGGAGTACACACATCCATCCTTTTCATCAGCCCTTGTCCCCAAGGAGGGTCACAGTGTAATGTCTCTCTCCTAAGACAGAGATACAAAATGTAGGATCCTACCATTGTAGGAAAAAGGAGCACCTGGAGGAAACCCACTCCAACACAGGAAGACTATAAAGAACACAATGCAGGTAGGACCCAAGATGAAATTCAAACCAACAACCCAGAGCCATAAGGTACTTTACCATAACCTTTACTGCTTAGCCACCATAGCATTGCAAATAGAAAGGCTATAGGAAGGCTACAGGTTTTGAGCAAGGTGCAGAAGGTTGGTGTCAAACGATAAGGGGAGAAAATTTGTGATTAGGATGGATTTTTCAGTCTCCAATCACTTGTTCCCTTTATGGGAGCTGGCTCATGGTGCACACACAGACGTGAGATATTCTTCGATGGGTTGGAATACTGTCTATAAGTACACAGAGGGGCTGATTTATAATGTTGCTGCCAGTGTCATCCACCTTACCAACCGTCCAGTCCAGTGTCTAGTACCCCTCTCTGCCAATCCCTTCACTGGCTTCTACTCACCCAATGAATAAAATTCAAAGTACTAACAGCAACTTACAAGGCCATCCACAACTCAGCCCCCAGCTACATCACTAAGTTGGTCTCAAAATATCAACTAAACCACTCTCTTTGGTCCTCCCAAGACCTCCTGCTCTCTAGCTCCCTTGTCACCTTGTCAAGACTTCTCCTGAGCTTCTCCCATCCTATGGAACTCCCTATCCCAATCTGTCTTACTATCTCCTAATATATCAACCTTTAGACGATCCCTCAAAACCCTTCTTTTTAAAGAAGGCTATCCTGCTTTTAACTGATGCACTGTGTTTTTACTTTCTCCATTAGCTCATCCCCCACAGCTGTTAGTCTTTGTATCACTCATCCATCCCCCTTTAATTGTAGGCTCTAACAAGCAGGGCCCTCTGATTCCCCTTGTACCAAATTGTATTGTAACTGTAATGTCTGCCTTCATTTTGTAAAGCGCTGCACAAACCATTGGCGCTATATGAATACTGTATAATAATAATAATATAATAGAGAGATAATATCACTATATACATTATTAATAATCTAGATCAGAGCCTGCGTTTTACAGCCTATTCCTAAAAGGCAAGAGCCTACCATATTTCACATATTTCAGTTCTTTCTTCCTAATACAACAGAGAGACACGTCATATGACTTTTCAAGATTTTTTTTTTTTTTTTGTACACACTCATTCATTTTAAAGGAGCTTCACTGGCATTAGAGAAATTTGTCAATCACATCTGCTTTGTTCTTTACGTAGTGGTATGGCCATGGTAAGCCATTAAACTGGTTTTACAATGCAGCCAAAATAGTTCAAAATTATTATTTACTACTACTTATAGCTAAAAAAATGTTTGTATATGTTTTACATTAAAGTAAAAAAAAAAAAAATTATATATATATATATATATATATATTTAATAATGTTGAAGTATCCATAGAACCCACCAGATGTACCCTTTGGGGCACATATACAGCTGTCTGAGGGCGTCTTAAAAAGATATAGAAATGTCTTCCTGGTCACTTCTCAGTAGAATATTTGACTGGCCATTGATTTGATTTTTTGGCCGTTTGCTTTTGTTCACCCCAGATAAAGCCTGCAATACAGTCGATAAACATGTATACTGGGGTGATACAAAGGTAAATGTTTGTACAACAAGACCATTTACAAAATGTCAAATTGTACCCCTATACTCAATCACCATCTATAGTGTTGACAATTACATGTCCAACACATGTTCGACAGACAGATTGTCTGTGGAGTATAGATGACCACAGCAGATAACTCCAGGCTACTTTAGTTGGAGGAAGTGTCTCTTTCAAAGGATATTAAAAAAACAGAGTATGTCTGTAAACATGAAGAATGAATAGCATCTAGGTCTCTACACAAGCGTAAATGTAACAATTATTTCTAAATCATTAAGGACCGGTTCACATAGAAATGTGGTCCACGTTCCTGTGCATTCTCCTGTAGTGCGATTTGGCAGCCAAACTGTACTGAAATATTCAAAAAGTAGTACATGCACTACTTCTGAAAAACATGCCTCACCAAATTGCATGGTACTACGCAAGGGCAGACTGACAAACTCATGGGGCCCCCGGGCAATAGGGGATCATGGGGCCCCTGTGTCCTTGCCCAAACTCAAAAAATCCTTTGAAAAAGGTACCAGGGGCATCTCATGGGGCCCCCTACTGACCCCGGGCCCTTGGGCAGTGCCCGAGTTTCCAAATGGTCAGTCCACCCCTGGTACTGCGGTACCATATGATATGATGTCCATAAACACACTGCATTTCTGATCTGCATTTGGGGTGCCATTAGCTATGTATTGGCACCTGCAGAAGACTGTGGGTTTGCATATTTCCTGCACTGTGTTGTGGTGTGACCAGGGGCAGACTGACCATTTGGAAACTCGGGCACTGCCCGAGGGCCTGGGGTCAGTAGGGGGCCCCATGAGATGACCCTGGTACCTTTTTCATAGGCTTTTTTGAGTTTGGGCAAGGACACAGGGGCCCCATGATCCCCCTATTGCCCGGGGGCCCCATGAGTTGTCAGTCCGCCCTGGGTGTGACCCAGCCCTACTGTTGGTTTTTATCCTGTGTGTGATTATTTATTCCTAATACACAAAGCTTATTTATAAAAAAATGCAATAACATTTAATTGGAAACAATCGGTTGCCTCAGATGTGATTAAATCACAAACAGTCACATGTCTATATTGTCACTGAAAAAATATTATTAGGGAGATTTAAATCTTATATTAAACAAAAAAATTGCCTTTTTAGTTTTTAGTATTTTTCATTGGTTTCACACTTACTGTGATGTATTATACATGACTACATTTAGCTGGTACACATTTTGAACTATTGTACAATTTAAATGCTTAAACATAGGAAATTATCTTCTCCAAGGAGCTACACCCCACTGCCACTGTACAAATGAGTGCAGGAAGCAAAACATGCCATCCATGCTTACAAACTGAATGTAGTAGAAGAGAGCCATAAACACCAGAGGGATAACAATCATTCGTGTTTATTGTGCAGTATATCCACATACATGACTTTGACAGTCCCCACCCTAGGACTGTCCATCTAATGCAGCGTTTTCTGCAGAAAAAAAATGCTTGAAGCTTGTAAACACTTTTAGGTGAGTCAAGCACTTGGGGTGTAAATTCATTTAATTGACCAGAATAATCATTTATTCTTTCCATTGAAATAAATTAAAGCTCAAGCGCCAAACATGCCTAGCGTTAATGCAGGTTTACACGTGTTTACTCACATCAAGCATTTTTTCTGCCAAAACGCTGCTGCTCCTGGAAACTCCTCTAAACACCTGTCTGTGCACGGACACTTAGGTAACATGCATGGACATTTAGAGGCAGGAAAAAAAAATCAGACACCCCAAGTGTAGCTGGAAAAACATCCAGTGGGCATGAGGCCTAAAGGTCTTGATTGTCTCACAACCTGTGACTGAATAGTGAATAGAGAAGCAGCAGAGTTCTCTGAACTTTCCTCTTTAAAGATGGCAGCTTAAGAGCACAGTGGCCAGGAGCTCCCAGAAGACTGATGGGCTCATCTCTCTGTCACTCTGCTCTCTCCTTTTCTCAGGGTAGCACCCTCCTAGTTTAGCTAGGGGAGCTAGAGTCTTGATTGTCAGTAACGAAGGCTGAGTAGCAGCCTGGTGTAATAGCCAGAAGGTCAAATCTTGGTTAGGAGCTGACAGGCTCTATAGATCAGCCCCCTGGAAATTTTCCCCGCTCTAGGGCTTTTGGATGAATGACCTAGAGGCAGTGGGTGGATCTGAGGAGTGGTTGGTTGCAGTCTTGAGTGACCTCAGCCAATCCCCAACAGGAGGTTGGAAAGGGGTTGGGGCACCCTTAAAAGTGTTGGAGACTGCTCAGTGGCAGGGGAGTTCAGGTGGAAGCCAGTGAGGAAGATGTGAGGCTGAAGGAAATAGGCTGCGAGGAGATCCAGTGGAATAGGGCCTACTTGCAGGCCTGGAGCTGGAAAGGAGGAAAGCTCAGAGCTCACCGACCCCTGAGAGAGGACCACCTGTATGGCAGGGAAGGAGCAGCCCAGCTGATAGGCCTGGTAGCAGCCAGCATCCCACAAGCAGTACAGGAGGGGGTCTGAGTGAGTACACCTACACCCTCTGGGCGGATAGGGGAAGGAGTACTCTGGTGGAAAACCAGATTAGCCACCTACCAGTGACTGCTCATCTCTTAAAGTGACAGGAACCAGATCCCCTGTTCAGGGATACCTCCAGATTTCTGGGTGAAGAAAAGTTAATCTTTAGTCTGAGGTTGTACAATAAAGGAGATGCTGGCTAGCTCTCCAACAAAGGCTGTACTGCAGAGGAGGCTTGTAAATAGTTCCAGGAAGTTGTCCTCAGTTTATCAGTACCCTTGGACATCCTGTGCACCCCTAACCCTATCCCAGTTCAAATCCCCTAAATAAAACAACAAAACTAAAGCTCAAGGACTGATTTCTGACTCTGGTTGCAAACTGATGTGAGAAGATGCGTGTTGCCTGGCGGTGCTGGGCTATAGGGGGACCCAAATCTTCTAGCAACTCCTAAGGGGGTAGTGTTACATCAGCATGTCCCTTGTTAGCACAGAAGCAGCACATCAGATTGGCTTCTTGTGCTGCTTCTCATTCTGCCTTTCTGAGTTCTGCTGTACAGAGACTGGAAGAGACTAGCCAAACTTCCTGAACTTAAAAGAATACATTTAGCCTTGGTTTACACTATGAACCACATGTGAATCACACTGGACCTCACCACATTTCTGTGCAATTTACATGCAATTCATTGTGGCTTGTTTTGAGCCCATTTTGGGCCCATTGCAGAGCCTTTGTAAAGAATTAAACAATATTGAATTGCCCAGTAATGTACCAGCTGATTGACACTCTGTCCTGCAATTTGTTTATGCGCAATCTATACAAAATCAGAGCCCAGCATAACACCTCTTAAACTGGGCCAATGGTACTGTATACTTTTTGATTGTGTTGTTATTGAATCATCCAACTATACATTTCCAGTACCACAGTAAAGAATGACTTATTGTACACAACTCTAATTATGTGCCAGTAGTGTAAAGAAACACACCTCCCACACTCCAGGGTGCCAATGTTCCAGACATATAAGGCCCAGGGGCCAGTGCTACAGACCTGTGGATAGTACAACTCTATACATAAATAACTGCAATCAGATTGTAGGGCTGTGATGAGGTGTGAACTAAGCACAGAGTTGTTTTCTTTATTTACCTTAGCAGAGATGTGTTCTAGGGTTTCCTTCTCTCATGCTGTGTTTATCCAATTAGTCTATGGTTAAGCAGGCTGTGGAATAGGGATGTTCCTATTGGCCAGCATTAGGGAAACCTGAGAATTGTGTTTAAACTACTTGTACTTAAACTGTAAGCTCTTATGTACACTGAATCCTGTTGTGGACTGTTTACTTAAGTAAGTGGCATTCCACAGTCAGTACTACAAAGCTGCCAATTTAATTAACCCATAGGGAGAGGTCTAAGCACTGGTACATGTTTGCATTGTTACTCTACTCGCTCTGCCATTAATATTTCAGCCTAGGCAAAATACCAAGATGCCAACATTGAATTTCTAGGCAGAACTAAAAATAAAAATAATAATAAAGGTGTTCATACTACCTGAAGTAGAGGCTGCTACATCTGCCTGGTAGAAGTGCATTCTCCAAAATTCTATTAGAGAGTATATTTAAATAATTGCAGACATCTATGATTACTATAACTGTAGATGCCGATATAATGTCAAATCCTATAAATACTACCTATACTTCAGATACCATGATTTCTATCTAAAAATGTCCAGGTGCAGGCACTATACAGCTGCCCTCAGCAGTTCACGTTACAAACATAATTGCACAGCATGGCCGAGCATCATTTTTTTTTTCTAGGGAAGAGAGGAGGAGAGAGATGAGGGAAACATGACTATCATTACGTACTACATAAGGCTAATATACAGTAGTAATTGTGGTAGGGTTAGGTACCTCCCTCCTAGATTGTAAGCTCGAAAGAGCAGGGCCCTCGAACCCCTCGTGTATTGTATTGTTTCTGTCTTGTCTCATGGTTCTGTCCCCCTTGCAATTGTACAGCGCTGAGCAAACCCTTTTGCGCTATATAAATACTGTATAATAATAATAATATTGTATAAAATGTCTCACAATTGAAGCATGATCGCATGGTGGTCATAGGCAGCTTTCAGACACACAAGATCATTTATCTGGATCAACTGAATGTCATCTCAATTGTGGAAAATATGAATAGTTTTAGTATGTGCTGACACCTATAGTCACTGTATGGCTACTTTCCTTTCCTTCAACCTACGGGTTGAACAAGAGAAAATCAATAAACTCCTTCATCCATTCTAAAAAGCATCCTTTGGCTGTCTGAATACCTGAACAGTGACTACATCTGATAGGATACAAACCCTGTTCAACTGATAAATTTCCATCCACCCTTAATCAATATTTAACTCAACTATTGTTAAGCCGCATGGTGATGACATAGCAAACCAATGGCTTATACTTAAACCAATTAGCAGGCCAAAATTAAATTTGATGTATGGTTAGGGTAAGGTCCTACTGCTGCATATTACAGAGCTGTGCTAAAGAGCACCTTTACTCTTTTTGCTATTACTTTATATATACAAGGAAAAAGTGAAACATACATGATGGTATTAAAGTGTGTGTAGCACCCTCCTAGGTAAGTTGCTAGGATGTACATAGTTTGGTTTAGTATAGTGTGGTCTCCTGCTTAATGGGAGACTGATCGGTAAAACGTAGCAGCTTCTTTGCTTAACAGGGAGCTACAATTGTTTAGTGAGAGATCCTATGTGGCGCACAGTGCTGCTGCTGTAATTGGCTCCTCTGTATCCACTCTATACAGGAGACCTTGGAAGGTTCTGGGTGAACAGGAATGACCCATGCAAATCAAGGTGGAAGGAAGGTGACCTGCCGCAAGGGCCTTTTGAGTATAGACTGTTCTACATGAAAGCTGAAACTTGTGCTGTTTATCCCCCCCCCTCTGGATTTATATAGTCAGCTGCTGGGTGTAAGCTAGAGGGGGACACACCAGCTGGTGTCCAGAAGAGCAATTGTCCACTAAGTCTGCATATCTACAGAGGGACTTTGTTCCATTCTTGTACAATCTGCTACACAATTCCACTTTGAGAAAGCTGTCCTCAATTGTGCAAAGGTTGATTCGGAGTATCCTAATATAT